AAGGCGAAGCTCACTGAGCCATTTATCTCCCCACCCTTCAACTAACCCCACACGTGTTTACCGGCCAGGTTGGCACAATGAGCTAACTACCTCAAATGGGATTGCACACCACCATGGTCAGGATTGGACAGTGTTGTCCAAGAATGACTATGGTCAGAATCGATCCGATGGCTCCTAACAAAGCAACAAACAAAAACCAGTCGGAAGGAGCCAAACCAGGACTGGAAAATGTACACCTAGGGATTTACCATGGCAACGTCTACAAAACTGCCCTTGTTTCACGAGAGGAAGGAGCCGGAACACTGTCGGAACCAAGTCTTAGGTGGAAGTCTTTCTAAGCTAATTTTCTCACAACACGGTCAGAATAAGCAGATGTATCTTTATTCGGCCTCCAGAAAGTCGGCAAGAAAAATGCCAAAAGACTGACAGTGACCTGTCTGACCAGCCTTGCCCTCAGCTTTGCCTGGACTGCCTGCACCTGTCTGCCAGCGGCCATTGCTTTGATTGCCTTTGATTTCAGGATTGCCCTGATTGTCCAACTGTTTCATCTTGTTAGGGTTCTTTGAAGAAACCCTTCAGGATCCTGATCCGATTGTTTAACTTGTCCTTTGAAAGTTCTGTGCTCGTCTGCAGCGGATCTGGTGCAGCCATTTTGGCCCCCGTTAAGGAGAACGTTGGTTCAAGTTTATTATTTCCGTCAGAATTGTGTAAGCTGAACGAATGGGGGAATCGATGGTGTTGGCATTTGTTTCTGCTGTTAATCATGGGTTCTCTTTAATTAAGACACAAGCAGGATTGTTTCCTTTCAAAACGGTCTAGGCAGTCTGCCACAGTGGGCTTTGTTAGATTTCTCGGGTGGGGAGAAAGAATTCACGTGAAGCCTGGTTGGTGATTCAAGTGGGTTTTGATAAAGGACAGAAGCCGTTTCCAGCATTACATTTACAGAGGACGGGCAGCCTCATGTGACTGCCCACCCATATGAAGGGCCCGGTGCCTCTTAGGCCAGAGAGACCGGCAGGGCCCAGCAGAAAGCAGAGGAGCAGCCAAGGGGCAGGGCAGGGCAGGGCAGGGCAGGGGTGTCCAGGTTCCAGCCTTTGGGGCTGTTGGCCGGGAGGCGTGGTCGACAGTACTGGTTGACCCCATTGGCTGAATTAAGCTCACCTGGCCTAGTTTGAGCCAAGCCAGGTGTACTGCCCACCTGGCTCGGGCTTGAATTGGCCCATGCCCCTTAGCCTGCATTGGCTTCCAGCCTCCTGTAGGGGGGCCCTGGGCGTGGAGAGGAACCACCCCCTTTCCTGCTACCTAACAGGCTTCTTCAACGTTGTTTTGCCCCTTCTTAAAACAAAGTATCCGCTTGCAGACCACTGATCTCTTGGCGACATTGTCCCTATAAACTTTTCGTAAAGCATCCATGATTTCACCGTTCTTCCACCTACATTTCACCATAAATTTGATGCTTGTTCTTTTTTTTTTTTTTCCCAGTCATTTTATTGGGGTTCCTACAGCTCTTACAACAATCCATACATCCCTTGTGTCAGCACACTTGTCTATATGTTGCCATCATCCTTTTCAAAACATTTTTCTTTCTACTTGTGCCCTTGGTATCAGCTCCTCATTTTTTTTCTTCCTTTCCCCCACCCTCATGAACCCTTGAT